CCGTCTCTACCAAAAATACAAAAACAAAATAAGCTGGGCATGGTGGCGGGCACCTGTAGTCCCAGCTACTGGGAGGCTGAGATGGGACAATGGTGTGAACCTGGGAGGCAAAGCTTGCAGTGAGCTGAGATCACACCACTGTACTCCAGCCTGGGTGACAGATTGAGACTCCAGCTGAAAAAAAAAAAAAAAACGAAAAAGAAAAAAGAAGAAGAAAATTCAGTTTTTTAGTTGCCCTAGCCACATTTCAAGCACTCATCAACCATACGTGGCCATAGAACATTCTGTCATCTTGGAGAGTTCTATTGACAGCACTATTCTGGACTGTATTTCTTGGAGTTTTAAAATTTTATTTTATTTTTTTTATTTTAGAGGTGGGGTCTTGCTGTGTTGCTCAGGATGGTCTCAAACTTCTGGCCTCAAGCAATTACACTGCCTCAGCCTCCCCAAATGCTGATATTACAGGCAAAAGCCACCATGCCTAGCCTTCAAGATTTTTTTTTTCTTTTAATTTGAGACAGGGTCCTGTTCTGTCACCCAGGCTGGAGTGCAGTGGTGCAATCTCACTTCACTGCAACCTCCACCTCCTAGGCTTAAGTGATCCTCCCACCTCAGCCTCCTGAGTAGCTGGGACTACAGGCACACACCACCATGCCTGGCTAATTTTTCTGTTTTTTGTAGAGATGGGGTTTTGACATGTTGCCCAGGCTGATCTCTAACTCTTGAGCTCAAATGATCCACGCATATCAGCCTCCCAAAATACTGGGATTATAGGTGTGAGCCATCACGCCAGGCACCTTGAAGATTTTTAAGACAAGAAATTATCCACTTCTTTTTTTTTTCCCCCATTCTTATTGCCCATCTCATGATCTTGGCTCACTGCAACCTCCACCTCCCAGGTTCAAGTGATTCTCTTGCCTCAGCCTCCCTGGTAGCTGGGATTACAGGTGCCTGCCACCATGCCAGGCTAATTTTTATATTTTTAGTGGAGATGGGGTTCCACCATGTTGGCTAGGCTGGTGTCGAACTCCTGACCTCAGGTGATTCACCCACCTTGGTATCCCAAAGTGCTGGATTACAGGCATGAGCCACTGTTCTTGGCACCTTGAAGATTTTTAAGACAATAAATTATCCACTTAGCTGCCAGGTTGTTTTGGATATTTTGTTGTTTGGTTTTTCTCTTCATAAATGTAACGATCTTATGAAAAGTTTGAAAAATAGAAATAAAAAGATAGCGCCTTCTCACAGCCTCATCTGCCCATCCTAACTCATTTAGGGCACTGGTTTTCCTTCCCATCGTGTTTCCTGGCAGTGAGATAGCAAATGTTTCCTCCACACCTACTGTGTGTCGGGGCTCTTGGCCGAGTGTTTTTTATGTACTCTGTCATTTAGTCTTCCTGTCAAACTCATGCAATTCGGAACTCTGTTGCAAGCTTGAGAGACTCGCTCAGACTCGTACAGCGTGTGTGGCTGGGGGTGGCAGGGTGGGAATTGGAATTCAGGTCCATGTGAGAGTAAACTGAGGCTTTCCATGCCTGGAAAGGAGAAGGTCTTTTTAAGTAGTTGTGTTCACAGCATACATCCCGTTTCGCATTCTGCTATTTTTACTTAAAAGCACATTGTCACCTGGGCATGGTGACTCACGCCTGTAAACCCAACACTTTGGGAGGCCAAGGCAGGTGGGTCACTTGTCAGGAGTTTGAGAGCAACCTGGCCAACATGGCAAAACCCCATCTCTACTAAAAATAAAAAAAAATTGGCCGGGCACAGTGGCTTATGCCTGTAATCCCAGAACTCTGGGAGACCGAGGTGGGAGGACCAACTGAGGTTGGGAGTTCAAGACCAGCCTGACCAACATGGAGAAACCCTGTGGTTACTAAAAATAAAAAATTAGCCATCCGTGGTGGCATGTGCCTATAATCCCAGCTACTTGGGAGGCTGAGGCAGGAGAATTGCTTGAACCCGGGAGGCAGAGTTTGTGGTGAACCGAGATCACGCCATTGCACTCCAGCCCGAGCAACAAGAGTGAAAGTCTGTGTCAAAAAAAAAAATAAATAAAAATAAAAGTAAAATATAAAAAAATAAAAAAATTAGGGCTGGGCGTGGTGGCTCACGCCTGTATTCCCAGCAATTTGGGAGGCTGAGGCATGCAGATCACTTGAGGTCAGGAGTTTGAAACCAGCCTGGCCAACATGGTGAAACCCCGCTTCTAATTAAAATGCAAAAATTAGTTGGGTGTGGTGATAGGCGCCTATAATCCCAGCTACTTGGGAGGCTGAGGCAGGAGAATCGCATGAAGTCTGGAGGTGGAGGTTGCAGCAAGCCGAGATTGTGTCACTGCACTCCAGCCTGGGCGACAGAGTGAGACTCTATCTAAAAAAAAAAAAATTGCTGGATGTGGTAGCTCACACTTGTAACCCCAGCACTTTGGGAGGCCGAGGTGGGCAGATCACGATGTCAGGAGATCACGATCATGCTGGCTGACACGGTGAAACCCCATCTCTACTAATAATACAAAAAATTAGCCAGGCATGGTGGCAGGTGCCTATAGTCCCAGCTACTGGGCAGGCCGAGGCAGGAGAATGGTGTGAACCTGGGAGGCGGAGCTTGCAGTGAGCCGAGATCGTGCCACTGCACTCTAGCCTGGGTGACGAGCAAGACTCTGTCTTAAAAAAAAAAAAAAAAATCACATCGTGAAGTTTTTTTGCACCTACTGCCAGTGAGGAAAGAAGCAGCTCACAGCAAGTCTTTGGGGTCCCAGTTGCTGCCTTCTCCTCCCGCCCCTGCTGTGGCCACCATGTGCCTATGTAGCAGGAAGCTGTGGGATGTGCAGACTCAGCTCTATTGGGCTTCCCAGAATGGAGGGGCATGGGGTGTTATAAGAGGCATTTCCTGGTCACATGGCCTAGCAGAGCTGGTGGCACAATTGCCTGTGTGTCCCAGCAGCCTAGCCTGGCCTCTTCTACCTGGCAGGGTGCTTGGAGATAATGTCAGCACCTCCATCCACTCCAAGTGGGCGGGCTGGGGAGAAGGAAAGCCAGGTTCTTCTGCTGGAGGGTGTCAGTGAAATGAGTCAACAATGGGCATGGTCAGGGAAGGCTTCCTGGAGGCAGGTGCCTTGGAAGATGGGAGGATGCAGCTCATGGCTAGGGGAGCAGCCAGCCACCTTCCCTGGAGAGAGCATCCTCAGCATCCCCTCTGCTCCCCTCCCCTTGTCCTGAAAGGAGAAGAGCAACTTGGCCCACAGCCTGCAGGTTTCACATTTCAAGCACTCATCAACCATACACGGCCATAGAACATTCTGTCATCTCAGAGAGTTCTATTGACAGCACTATTCTAGACTGTATTTCTTTTTTTTTTTTTTTTTTTTAGAGATAGGGTCTTGCTGTGTTGCTCAGGATGGTCTCAAACTCCTGGCCTCAAGCAATTCCCCTGCCTCGGCCTCCCAAAATGCTGAGATTACAGGCATAAGCCACCATGCCTAGCCTTGAAGATATTTTTTTCTTTTAATTTGAGACAGAGTCTTGTTCTGTCACCCAGGCTGGAGTACAGTGGTGTGATCTCAGTTCACTGCAACCTCCACCTCCTAGGCTTAAGTGATCATCCCACCTCAGCCTCCTGAGTAGCTTGGACTACAGGTACACACCACCACACCTGGCTAATTTTTCTGTTTCTTGTAGAGATGGGGTTTCACCATGTTGCCCAGCCTGATCTCTAATTCCTGAGCTCAAATGATCCACCCATCTCAGCCTCCCAAAGTACTGGGATTATAGGTGTGAGCCATCACACCAGGCACCTTGAAGTTTTTTTTTTTTTTTTGAGACAGAGTCTTGCTCTGTCGCCCAGGCTGCCATGCAGTGGCGCGATCTCGGCTCACTGCAAGCTCCACCTCCCGGGTTCACCCCATTCTCCTGACTCAGCCCCCTGAGTAGCTGGGACTACAGGCGCCCACCGGAACACCCTGCTAATTTTTTTTGTATTTTTAATAGAGATGGGGTTTCACCGTGTCAGCTGGGTTGGTCTCGATCTCCTCACCTCGTGATCCGCCCACCTCTGCCTTCCAAAGTGCTGTGATTACGGGCATGAGCCACCGCGCCCAGCCGAAGATATTTAAGACAAGGAATTATCCACTTCTTTTTTTTTCCCCCCAACTCTTTTTGCCCATGGCATGATATTGGCTCACTGCAACCTCCACCTCCTGGGTTCAAGCGATTCTCTTGCCTCAGCCTCCCTGGTAGCTGGGATTACAAGTGCCCGCCACCATGTCTGGCTAATTTTTATATTTTTAGTAGAGATGGGATTCCACCATGTTGGCTAGGCTGGTGTCGAACTCCTGACCTCAGGTGATTTGCCCACCTCGGCCTCCCAAAGTGCTGGATTACAGGCATGAGCCACCGTTCTTGGCACCTTGAAGATTTTTAAGACAATAAATTATCCATTTAGCTGCCAGGTTGTTTTTGATATTTTGTTGTTTGGTTTTTCTTTTCATAAATGTAACGATCTAATGAAAAGTTTGAAAAATAGAAATAAAAAGATAGCGCCTTCTCACAGCCTCATCTGCCCATCCTAACTCAGGGCACTGGTTTTCCTTCCCATCATGTTTCCTGGCAGTGAGATAGCAAACGTTTCCTCCACACCTACTGTGTGCCAGGCTCTTGGCCGAGTGTTTTTTATGTACTCTGTCATTTAGTCTGCCTGTCAAACTCATGCAATTCGGAACTCTGTTGTAAGCTTGAGACACTCGCTCAGACTCGTACAGTGTGTGTGGCTGGGGGTGGCAGGGTGGGAACTGGAATTCAGGTCCATGTGAGAGTAAACTGAGGCTTTCCATGCCTGGAAAGGAGAAGGTCTTTTTAAGTAGTTGTGTTCACAGCAAGCATCCCATTTCACATTCTGCGAAATGTAGAGATGAGGATCTCACTGTGTTGCCCATGCTGGTCTTGAACTCCTAGTTCCAAACATTCCTCCCACCTCAGCCTCCCAAATTACTGGGATTACAGGCATAAGCCACTGTCCCTGGCTGTATTAAATTTTAATTAAAAGTTTTAAAAAGGGAAAATTCAGGCTGGGTGTGTTTTACTTAACAGCACATTGTTGACTGGGCATGGTGGCTCACACCTGTAATCCCAGCATTTTGGGAGGCCAAGGCGAATGGATCACTGGAGGTCAAGAGTTTGAGACCAGCCTGGCCAACAGAGCGAAACCCCATCTCTATTAAAAATAAAAAAAATTGGCCAGGCATAATGGCTCACGCCTGTAATCTCAGCACTTTGGGAGGCCAAGGCGGGAAGACCACCTGAGATCAGGCGTTTGAGACCAGCCTGACCAACATGGAGAAACCCTGTGTCTACTAAAAATACAAAATTAGTCATCAGTGGTGGCACATGCCTGTAATCCCAGCTACTTGGGAGGCTGAGTCAGGAGAATCGCTTGAACCCGGGAGGCAGAGTTTGTGGTGAACTGAGATCACGCCATTGCACTCCAGCCTGGGCAACAAGAGTGAAAGTCTGTGTCAAAAAAATATATAAATAAAAATAAAAGTAAAAAATAAAAAAATAAAAAAATTAGGGCCGGGTGTAGTGACTCATGCCTGTCTTCCCAGCACTTTGAGAGGCTGAGGCGGGCAGATCACCTCAGGTCAGGACTTTGAGACCAGCCTGGTCAACATGGTGAAACTCCGCTTCTAAGTAAAAATACAAAAATTAGCTGGGCGTGGTGATAGGCGCCTATAATCCCAGCTACTTGGGAGGCTGAGGCAGAAGAATCGCTTGAAGTCTGGAGGTGGACGTTGCAGCAAGCTGAGATCGTGTCACTGCACTCCAGCCTGGGCAACTGAGTGAGACTCTGTCTAAAAAAAAAAAAAAATTGCTGGACGCGGTGCCTTACACCTGTAATCCCAGCACTTTGGGAGGCAGGCGGATCACAAGGTCAGATCGAGACCATGCTGGCTAACACGGTGAAACCCCGTCTCTACCAAAAATACAAAAAATTAGCTGGGTGTGGTGGCAGGTAACTGTAGTCCCAGCTACTCAGGAGACTGAGGCAGGAGAATGGCGTGAACCTGGGAGGTGGAGCTTGCAATGAGGGGAGATCACGCCACTGCACTCCAGCCTGGGTGACAGAGTGAGACTCCGTCTCAGGAAAAAAAAAAAAAAAAAATCATGTCGTGAAGTTTTTTCGCACCTACTGCCAGTGAGGAAAGTGGCAGCTCACAGCAAGTCTTTGGGGTCTCAGTTGCTGCCTTCTCCTCCCGCCCCTGCTGTGGCCACCATGTGCCTATGTAGCAGGAAGCTGTGGGATCTGCAGACTCAGCTCTATCAGGCTTCCCAGAATTGAGGGGCATGGCGTGTTATAGGGGGCATTTCCTGGTCACATGGCCTAGCAGAGCTGGTGGCACAATTGTCTGTGTGTCCCAGGAGCCTAGCCTTGCCTACCTGGTAGGGTGCTTGGAGATAATGCCAGCACCTCCATCCACTCGAGGTGGGCGGGCTGGGGGGAAGGAAAGCCAGATTCTTCTGCTGGAGGGTGTCAGTGAAATGAGTCAGCCATGGGCAGGGTGGTCAGGGAAGGCTTCCTGGAGGCAGGTGCCTTGGAAGATGGGAGGATGTAGCTCATGGCTAGAGGAGCAGCCAGCCACCTTCCCTGGAGAGCGCAGCCCCAGCATCCCCTCTGCTCCCCTCTCCTCCCCTTGTCCTGAAGGGAGAAGAGCAACCTGGCTCACAGCCTGCAGGTGGCCCAGCAGCAGGCCGAGGAGCTGCGGCAGGTGTGGGAGAAGCTGCAGGCTGCCCAGGAGGAGCTGCGGCGCCAGCGGGACCGGCTGGAGGAAGAGCAGGAGGACGCGGTGCAGGATGGCGTGCGGGTG